TTTAAAAATAAGTTAAAAAGTCCCATAGAAAAGTTACAAGTTCTTACAAAGAATTTTATAAAACATCCAGAGGGGAAAATAAATATAATGAAGCACACATAAGTAAAAAAAAAGACATGTGAACTCCATCAGATTAAATAAATGCTACCTATTGGTCTAGATGTGAGAATTCCAGTCCTCTGTACACTGAGTAGCAATGCATACTGAAGGTTGCAATCCTTAATCTTCACCAAGTGTTTCAAGTCCCCCTCACTTTCAGCAAGCAAGGTTGTGTCATCTGTGCATCACAAGTAGTTAATAAGTCTCCCTTCAATCCTGATGCTACATTCTTCTTCATAAACCTAGCTTCTCTGATGATTTACTCAGCATACAGATTGAATAAGTTTGATGAGAGCATATACCCTGATGCACACCTTTCCTGGTTTTAAATCATGCAGGATTTCCTTGTTCTATTTGTACAACTGCCTCTTGATGCATGTATTAATTCCACATGAGTACAATGAAGTGTCCTGGAATTCCTACTCTTCTCAAGGTTAGCCATAGTTTATTATGACCCACACAGATGAATGCCTTTGCATAGTTAATAAAACACAAGTAAATATCTTTCTGGTATTCTTTGCTTTGAGCCAAGATCCACCTGCCATCAGCAATGATATTCCTTGTTCCATTTCCTCTTCTGAATTTGGCCTGAATCTCTGGCAGCTCCCTGTCAATGTGCTGCTGCAATTGTTATTGGATGATTTTCAGCAAAATTTTACTTGCATGTGATATTAATGGTATTCTTCTACAAAGGGAACATTCTGTTGTGCATCCTTTCTTTGAACTGGGTACATATATGGATCTCTCCCAGTCAGTTGGCCAAGTAGCTATCTTCCAAATTTCCTAGTTTAGAACAGTAAGTGCTTCCAATGGTTTATCAGCTTGTTGAAACATTTCAATTGATATTCCATCAGTTTCTGGAAGAAGAAGAAAAAAGAAAGAAACCAAAAGAGACTTACATTAATGGAACAATGTTCTATGCTCATTGATAGGAAGATAAAATTTTGAAATTGTGAATATTACCTAAAAGATTAACAATTTGTAAATATAATTCAATTCGATCCAAATCCCATAAATATTCTTCAAAGAATTGGAAAAATAAATGACTAAATTTATATGGAAAGGGAAGAAACTCAGAATAATCAAAACACGATTAAAAAGAAAAACAAAGTAATAGGCTTCTCATTCTCTGATTTCAAAATCTATTATATGGCCACAGTAGTCCAAACAACTTGGTTTGGTTTATATAGATATATAGACCTATGATCAGAAAGAGAACCCAGAAATAAAACCATGCACCCACATGAAACTGAATTTTGCTATCAGACTGAAATAAATTAAATGGAGAAGGGATATTCTTTTCTTTCTTTTCTTTTAATATTGCAAGCTGTTTTCCTTTTTAAAAAAATCATTTTATTAGGGGTTCATACAACTCTTATCACAATCCATACATACATCAATTGTGTAAAGCACATTTGTACATTCATTGCCCTCATCATTCTCAAAACATTTCCTCTCCACAT